TAAATGGACATGGAAGAAGGTCTAATGGATCAGGAAAGGAAAAATGCAACACATAGAGTCAGTCCCTGGGCTAAGACAACAGACATATGAAGATAGAGAGTGGTGACATCTGTGGAACAAGGGACCATTCTGTGAGGAGAATCTTGTTCAGAGAAGATAATCGATCTACCACCAGATTCAGGGAGCCAGGAAAATGGCAAGCTGAGACCACAATGTGGTGACTGTAGGCTCAGAAAGGAGAACCAGGATCTGAAACCACAGACACCTGGAATTAGTACCCCCCAGGCTCAATGATACGAGTGAAAGCTTTCAAGGAAGCCCACATCCCCAAAGAGAAAGAACATCTCAAGCTGTAAGAAAAGGTGAGGAAAGTATGAACTGATCACCCCAAAGACAAAGAGGAGAAGCCTGGGCCCAACTGAGGTTGGAAAGAAGAACTACCCATATGAACGGGATATTGAGATGGGGTAAGAATGGACTTCCTCACTGTCATCAGGAATCCCACCTGTTCTGCATCCTGTAGGAACAGAGAAGAGTGGTCTCTGGACTATGAAAGGGAGGAAGCAAGCAGGAGTCAGTCATCCATAGAAGGAAAAGTGCAAAAACTCATAGAGTGAAGATGTCTGACAAAACACGTAAAGAGCCAAGGTTAGTTGGAAAGGTAGAACTATGAACTGGAAACCTTAACTTAGAGCAATAAATAACTATTGATGAAGTGAGCACTGTGCAAAAGAATTCTCTGAATTGTAGATTATGAGGAGAAAATCGGGTTTTTAGGATCAGGAATGTAGGAAAAGGAGCCAAAGCCAAGCTCAACCCCATGAACAGGAAAGAAATGAACATGTCAAGTGATGTAACAAAGCACAAATTTTAAGTCCCACACTGATGGAAATTAGGATGATAAGGCACATAGTTAACACTTACGAAAACAAGAAAAGATATTAAAATAGAACAATAAATTAGATATTACTAGTAGTAATGATATGTAACGTACAAGATATCAAAACATACTAAGTTAACAAAGGACTGATAAATATCAAATGGACAAACCATCTAAATTTATCTAGTGCACAAAGAATGTAATAATAATGGGCTAACCAACTAAAATTACTTAGAAAACACGTTAATTATCAATATCTAATTTAACAGTCATCTAAATTAACCAAGACAACAAAAGACAATTAAGTCCTACACTGATGAAAATGGTGATAAGAAGGCACATAGTTAACACTGATGAAACCAAATTACACATACAGAACAATGAATTAGATGTTACTAGTAGTAATGATATGTAACTTACACACAATCTAAACATACCTAGTTAAAGTACTTATTAATAACGAACTAACAAAAGCTGCAGATTCTACAAAGTATGTAATGTTAACAAACATGCAAAATGATTAAATTTACTGAAAAACAAAGATGTAATCAATATCTAACTTACAATTCATTGAAAATAACTTAGATGATAAAGGACTCATACATATCTAGCTTATCACAGTCTGAGCACTGATGACGTGAAATACGTAAGTCTCTTGTGTGTAAATAAGGGCAAAGCCACACAAAGTGCATCTGAACCAGGCCGACCATGAGTATCTCAACCTGGTGTGAAATTTACATGTTGAAAAGCTAACCAACAGATTCCCTGGGAAAACTAGAAGCAATAGGAAGAAAGATGGAGAAGAATAATTCTCCATCAAAGTGAATGAGAAAGCAGCACTGAAACTGGTGGAAGGTGCTAGAAAAAGAGAGTCCAAAGTGTCTATTCATTGATTGTATTCTTCCAAATTCATACTACAGTCTCTTGTAATTCAGTAACAAGAAATAAATGCAAAAACAATTTTTTTGAAAAAAAGTGAATGCAAACATAGTAAAATAAAACAGTTGAAAAAAAATTGAAATGACAAAGAAGCATGTCCATAAATGGTAGTCACTTGCAAAGAAACACACATCTAAATTATGCTGTGCCAATGGAGAAAGTGAGGATTGAGTGGGAATAGCAGAGGGAGTTAGCTGCATCATTATAGGTGGCACAATACTATTGGTGGAGAGTAGTCACATGATATGTACATGTTCAGAAATGGCACAAAATTGATGGGGTGTATAGACTGGTATGCTGATCATGAAAATTTTTTAGTAATGTTTAGAGAGCAGAACATATCAGAATTGGCATATAATACATTAATTGTTTGGACTGCTTACTACTCTTCTTACAGTAACTTACTGGATACAGACAGTAAGACTAGTTTTGATGTTTCTTTAAAATTCAGTGAAATCCTTTTTATGGTGGTAGTAGCCTCTTGGGGGAGTGTGCTCCTGATACTTTTCACTCCCAGTACCTCCTTTCATGTATGCCTATTTGAGAGCAGCTAATTATTATTTGACCCATTGCACTATTTATCTAGTGCTCATCAGACTGGCTGGATAGTAAGATACAAGACTGATAAGATCTGGTATTCAGCAAAAGTTCTCATTATCATTTGAGTACAAAAAAGGGTAGTTGATTTGTTATTATACACTCTTCTCACTGCAAATATTAACTCAGCCAATACGGAATATTATAAAACTGTCTTTTTGTAGATTGTTACTTCATAACCTTAGGCATTATACTCCATAAAATGTATCTGGCTATATTTTAATTTCAAATATCCTAAATGTGGTGAGGACAGGATTCTTATGATAGAGGTAAGAACCTGCTTGCATGATATTAAAAAAAAAATCAAGTGCAATAAATTACCTCTACCTAACTATTACCTTGAATCTCCACGTGTTTCACTCTTGGATAAGGAAAAAAGACAAGGTAATGTAAAAATTGACCAATCTGTAAAAGATATCAGGCACTGAGAACTCAGTAGATCTCCATGAAGTTTTTCTCAATTCCATTCCTAGCCATCCAACAATTGTGGCTTATCTAGTTGTATTATGAATGAACAACCATATGCAGAAATGTATCAAGACCCATATACTTTCTTGGAGAAAAAGGCCATACCCAAACATGGTGGGAGGGTTACATCCAGAAAAAGGTAACATTAGCAATGAGTAAAAAGCCTCATCTGTACAAGCATACAATAAAAAATGTGAAGTTACAATGTTGTTTCTAAACCCTTATTGCTCCAGTAACAAATGACATAAAAATTATTATTATTATCAATCATACTTGATGTAACATTGCACCATTTCTGTATTAGTAAATACCCACACATGTATATGAACTCAGAGATGAAAGTGGTTGATGCTTATTGAATTGATTCTTCTTATGAAAGTTATAATACACATAACTAATACTGTCAGCATGTCATGTGAATGTTTGTTGTAAGATCATGCAAGCATCAATCACTACACTTTGAAATAATGCTACATTTTTTTCAAGAATAAAATTATGCTTAAGAGGTGGATGTATCAAACAATGTTTTTAAAATAATGTTTTCTTAATTTATAGAATATATTTGTTTCTTGTATATTCTTACATAATTTCTGATGCATACAATGCTAATGTTTCTCCTGTATCAACAAATTTGCTTTAGTGCTGAGCATTTCTTTACTACCCACACTTCCCAAGATGTTAAAGTGTTTTGAAGTGACATTTGTGTCACAGTCCTGAAGGATGGACGACTGATTGAGCAATACCTGGGGCCTGGTCTGGTCTTTTCTTCTGAAAAAAAGGGCCTGATCATTTCATTGCCCGGGTCCCTGAACTGCTTGTTCTGCCACTGGATTATATTTTTTGTTTTAGGCATGCTCTTTAACCATTTCAAAATAGGTCATGGGTGAAAGACCACGTCATCTCATTTGTTGACTCGCATTCAAAATTTTATTGAACTACTATTT